TATCACTGATGAAAGAAAGGTGATAGCAGCGAAATGCGAAGTTGTCTTCTGCATGTTGGCAATGTAATAGGTAATATTTTGAAAGACTGCCAGTTTACGCATCCTCGTGGCCTAGAATGCTTAGATAGTGAACAACTATGATAGTATGCATGTAAATGTCAGTAATGCAAAAGTGAGGTGTAAATTCTTAGCCAGAAGAGGGAGATTAATTGTTAACCTTCATCTATTCAATGGTAAATTCAACTTTCTGGACATCAGCATTCAACGTACAATTTATGGTACACTTCAAAGATCTATTCCTTGCAAAAGCACACGGAATAGCCTTTACCTTAATCTAAACAGTTTCTGTCCAGTCAACTACAAATAAGCACTGGTTAAGATTTTCTTCTGTCAAGCACGAAGAACGTGCTCAACAAAATAACCTTGAAAAGGAATTGTCACTTCTCAAGAAGTATCTTAAAGAAAACGGATATCCACAAAGCTTCGTCAATAAATACAGCAGAAGGAAATACCGCAAAGTTGAGAAAATGACAGTCAGTAAGAAGCCGCTCTTCATTCACTACGACTTCGAAGGTGATAATTCATAGATGATAATAAACCAAAGACTACCCACTACACGGGTTGGGAAGTTTCTTGCGGGTAAAAGCTTGTTCCCCTGTGTCATACTTCCTGCTCGCAGGTACAATTAGAAATCGACTGTTACCCCTTATATGTTACCTCAAATTGTGTATATCTGCCAGGGCAGTTAGATTGGGAGAACAGAAAGAAGGGCTCACTTTCGATATTTGAACGTGTCCCGAAGAGCCTACGACTGAGAGGAGCAAGTATTCTCAAAAGTGCAATTTCTAAGCGCTTACTGGGAATAGGATGTTAAGCAGATATCTTGGAATTGTTCAAAGCAATCAAAAAACAGAATAATTCAGATCTTCTTTGCTTTACTGAAGCCATGACGATCAAATGTCTAAAACCAGATTTGTGTTCACTCCGATTCAGCTGAGTTCTACTCATTATGTCCTATTACATTTTATTTTCTGATTATTACTGAATGACTTGCGCTACTTCCTACACTGTTCTCCTTTTTCTGCCCCATCTAACTGAAGCGTGTTAATACCTTATTCTAATTTACTGTTGTAAACATTCTGGAGTGTAAGTAACTGACGTGAACCAATGAGATAATAAAGTGGGTCCATATTATTCTTGATCTTTTAAAGTGATGTATAGTGACACCAAGATGCCTGATAACCTACATCAGTGCACCAGTTCACTTTGTCCTGCACCACGGCTGTGAATAGTAGTCATTAAGTTGGACGGCATGAGAAGACTTCAGATCTTCGACAACCGTTGCCTTCGTACAATAACATATCATTATGCCAGTTGACCACCATGTCGGTAATGCAAACGTCAGGTGTGAAGTCTTAAGTTGAAAAGGTATGCCAATTTATGAGACTGTGAACTTTCATCGACTGAGATGGCATGGAAATGTTTTACGCATGCCTAGTCACCTCCAACCTCGACTTTCAATATTAGCAGAATTGTGGTGGAAGAATACTAAATGTGACTGTACAAAGACGTGGCACCCGTGCATAAAGTCTCTGACTGCTGGTCTGAGCTGCATAGGAGGGTGTAGACTGCCTAGCTGAGGTCATCAAGACAATAGAAATTAATAGTTGGCGAGTCTTGATGACATCGCTGAAAATCGGTCAGTGTGGCGCAGATGTATATCTTCTTTGGACATCTTCACCAATTGTTCCTTTCTTCTCTCTCCACCCACTCACACTTATCCACTTTAATACCGCTTCTCCTATGCATGGTGTTGTGAAGTGTGTCAAGTTGAATCGATCCACTTCGGATTAAAGTTCAATGTCGATTTGTCTGTCCAGCCTAACAACTCCATTACTCTACTCAGTAATTTAGTGCATTGGTAGGAATTTTCTAACAGTTTTATTACCCTTCAACCTCGACGTCTTGCGGGAAGAGCTTTTGACATCGATTATCTTCGGAGATGTTTTACAAGGAAGTCAATTGAACAGAGACTTTTTTTAAGTCAGCACAATATCATTAGATAACTAGCAACAGATTTATTCCCAAGCTTTACATTCGTTGTCTTATTCGTGATATATTTGCGTTACTAATAGCATTAAGGATGTTGATATCACTGGTAAAGTTATGTTCTCCTAAGATGTTACCTCATTGCTCACTAGTGTACCGCTCACTGAAACTTTGTTACATATGTCATTCCATTGGTTCATACAATAGAGAAGTAGGAATCCCAACAAACTACTTGAGAGAGCTATTGATGAGATGTATTTTTAATGTATAACTTAGTTTCTATGATAAGATATACTAGCAAAATAATGGGATTGCAATGGTATCCCCTAGGGGATCTCTAATGGCAGATTGCTTTGTTTCAAAATTAGAAAATTCTAATCTTAGCCAAACCATTTATCATCTTGATATCTATGAACGATATGTGGATGACATATTCGTTATTTGTGACTCAACTATCGATCTGGATGACATCATAAGCGAGTTTAACAATTGTCACTCAGTGTTGGAATTCACTAATGAGGAATTGAAATCAGCTGTTCCATTCCTTGACGTGCTGATCACGAGATGTAGGAATGGAAAGCTGAAAAGATTCATCTAAAGGAAACCTATGTGGAATGGACAGCTTACTAATTTCTATAGCTGGTCCGGATCATGAGCAAAAGAAACCTAATTGATTCTATCTGCTATCAAGTACGTAATATTTGTAGTACATACAGACTGTGTCCAAGTTGAGCTTGACTTTCTCAGAGGGGTGCTTGCAGAAAACGGTTATCCTAGTCGACTTACTGATAAAAACATGTAAAACTGGTCATCAATTCAGCTTCTAAAAAGACTTTGTTCATGAATCTGGAATTTAAAGGTGATCCCGTATCAGACTTCCTGAAAAATTGTTTTTCCAGACCAACTAGTAGGAACCTTTACTCAGCCAAACTTCATTTATTCTTTACCAGTCGTAAACTGTTCTCCATTTGAGTAAAAGACAATATTCCTAGTCAGGCCACATCCATGTGCATCTACCATTTCGCCTGCTCATGTGAAGCAAGGTATATAGGTCGTAGTCAGAGATTACTGACAACACGTATCCGAGAAAATATTACACCCTGGTTTTATAAGTGAGAGGAAATCATATTAGAAGTTCCATTCTTGAACATTTAATCGATTCCAACCATTCAACCGACCCAAACAATGATTTTAAAGTGGTCTATCGAATTCGCTCAAACACTTCAAGCTTCCTCTGTGTTCAACTTCTAAAAACAGCAGATGCTTTGGCTATCAATGAACTGAAGACTGATCTTTGTGTGCAAAAGTAGTATGTACAATCTTTATCTCTACCTTGGCCTTAACTTATTTTGGTCTTGGTTTGTTTCGTTCCTTTTTTCATTTTTTCAACTCCCCCTCCCCCTTTTGTAAGATGAATATTTTTACTATTATATTGTCATTATCACTTTATTTTTATATTTAATTGTTCCCGGTGTTATTTCATCTAATCGTCCAAATAATTGTGAATGTTAACAAAACATTTCCACTCATCATCCAACTTATCAGATGTACAAATATGTTGGATTCTATTGAATAGGCCTCTAAAGAAGACAGTTAATATTCTTTACGATTATATATCTTCAAATTATTCTTCTTTCCCTATTCCTTCAATTCATTTGAAAGAGCTCCTTTTATTATGTACTTATAAGGTTCATTTCACTTTCGAAGGTGAACACTTTCGTCAAATTGATGGTGTGGTCATGGAGAGTCCATTAAGACCGTTATTAGCTGATGTATATATGTCACATATTGAATTAATGGCTCAAAATTTAATCACCAATGTCACATTCAATAGAAGGTATGTGGATGATATCTTTGTAATATGTGACACAGATGAGGATGCCAAGAGTTTGTTAAAAAGGCTTAATAACGTACCAAGATCATATCAGTCTGATATATGAGGAGGAAAAAGCCCATCAACTTGCATTTCTTGATATACTCTTGTGCTGGAGGGAAAATGGATCTATCAGACGATCATTATATAGGAAGCCTACTTGGACAAGACAATACTTGAGTTTTTACAGTTTTTGTCCGATGAAAACATTTCCAATTTGTTCCAGTTAACTTGTCTCATTTGTATTACCTAATCCTTCAATGGTTCTCCAAATGATATCAGTCCATGATGAATATTACCTCTAGTAGTTTGATTGTTTATCAACTCTACCACATTTCCACCCCGTTTTAATCTATACACAACGTATAACCGACTTAAAAATCTTACGTAACCCTCTTTGTTATCATTTAACGTTTACGTCATCAACTAGGATCATTATTATTACAACTACCCTTATTGTTACTCTAACTTCCCCTTATTCAAGTCAAATCTTCTTCACGGACTACAATCTTTAAATATCATATATATATATATATATATATATATATATATATATATATATATATATATATATATATATATATACAGGTTGAGAATAAATTCGTTGAAAAGAGTCCTCTTTACGGAATATCTTGTGTTTTGATGTCACAACGAGAATTACCTGGTATATTTCATTCGAAAAATCTGAATGAAAACTCAAACAGTCAAACCAATGTCGAAACATTAAACAAAACAAGCTTAGAAATACAGATCAAAGGTCGACCCAATCGAAATATCACTGAAGAATAACCAATTTCATGACAACTGAATTTGATGTAATAGTTTTGTAATGTAGCTATTAGGCCTGAAGACTATTCAACAGCGTAGCTCAGTTGCAACTCAGCCACGTTATACACATCCCTACAGTAGACAATAAATTAATGATACTATCAGATTGCTCAAACCTCAGTAGGTAGGGCGGGACTCGAACCCACGGTCCACTGGATGAAAATTATCCCCCTAAACCAGTCAACCACAACTTCTACTTCACATCGATTCATGTTACACATGAACAGTAGGAAGCCATAGGAGCCATCATCAATTTCGTTAAGAGTTTATAGATACTCCTTTCTGACAAGTTCCAACAAGCAAGAGACATTGTAAACAGCATATTATCAAAACAATATTTACTACAATCTTCTTAATATCATGTTCAATCAGAATGAAATAAAACTTAGAGAAAAGAAATAAAAACAAAAATTATCATTCATTCACTCCTTATTTTTTTCTTTACAGTGATTGTATCTATCTATCGACAGTGAATGAAATCATACCTTGAATAAATTGATAAATTCAATCTATCAATCAACTGGTAAAATTAACAAATTTAGTGAGTAAAAACGACAACAATGAAAAATCCATTGATGATGTTGACACAGAACAGCATACATACAGAAACAATATGATCGGAAAATTTGTCAATTGATCATTTAACGGGGTTATATACACAGATCATCAAGGTCAACCAACTACTACCACTACCACTACTACTAACAATCATTAATAAGTAGTTGATATGAAGTGATCATAGTAATGATGATACAAGAAGAAGAAATACAAATCTATTGGCATCAGAATTTAAAAATCACATTGAATTAAATCAAATGGAAAGCAAGAAAAGACAAAACGATGAAGAATATACTATGCTCACCCTCCTCCTCTCATTCATACACACAGAGGAGACATGTTGTTCAAACAAACGAATAGAGCAGAGCTGTAGGGAATACTTGTGAGAAGTAAATATGAGGAGGTATTATACATCGGCAAAATAAACAAAGAAATAAGCAAATAAATAAATAAATAAATCATAAGACAACGAAAATCAATAGAAGAGAACAAGTCCACCTAATTGTCTATCTTTCAAAAATCATTGTTGGCAAAGAAACGAAAAAAATTGAAGGCAAAGAGGAACATAGAACAACAATAGAAAAAGAAAAGATAATCATGAGATAATGAATGATTAGGTCAGTTAAGAATGAAAATGCACAATTACATATATCGTGAATGCAACTATCCTGTATAACAAGCATAGACAAATTTAATATGCAATCGAATAACAATGATGATGATGATGACATTGTATGTGGATTATTATTTACTTGCCATAACAACTGAAGTTAAATCTCTTGGCGGTTTCAAGTGCAGATTTCGTTGTCGTGTAAGAAAAGATACATTATTATTATTATTATTATTATCTGTATTACAACATAATGTTGAATTCAATTTAGTCGAAGGATAATTACAATTTTTACATGATTGTCTCCTTAAACTTTCTTCAATAGTGTTTTGTGTAGATTGAGTAATTAAATTATACCAAGCACTTAATACGATACGTTCTTCTGTTTCACGATGACGTCTCATCTGTTCATGATGAGTCTATAAAAATGGTAAAATGGTTAATCATATGAATAACTAAATTCATTATGTGAACAGTGAAAGTTTATACTAAGAAGAAAAAAAAAAGAGGAGCTTAGAAACTGCATAAAAGTGTAAAGGCAATCGATAAAAGAATTATCAACTCCATCAAAATTCAATTGAACTGGTGCTCATTGGTGACTAGCTTCGAGAGGTATTCTCCGAAGTTCCAATGAGAAGTCGTGATCGATGGGGAAAGCCTGATGGTCGTGACGACAGTTACTCAACAATGACATTGCGTGGTGGTTGCGCTATATCGTGACTAACAGAAGTTGGAAATATGGAGCATTGGATTCTGACCCAATGGCTCAATGGTAACGTGCTGGTCACAGAACATGAAGGTCGCGGGTGCGCACTGCTGAGAGTCCCATACTAGGACAAAACAGCTGTCAGTGCTCCCAGGTTTCCTTTGTTCCTCCAACTGATGTCAGTCTACGATGAATAACAACTTAAAAGATTATTGTTCTAATTCTATCTGGAGGTTTGTAGAGATTTACTAATTGACTTTCAGACTGCAATTTATCGTGGACTGATATTAGTTGGGGAAAGTTGAAAACCTGGGGTACTGAACAGCTGTTGCGTCCTAGTATGGAGCTCCTCAGCAGTGCGAATCCCACGACCCGGTCTTCAGGGATCAAATCCACGACCTTCAGGTTCCGTGGCCAAGACGTTACCATTGAGCTAGCCACTGAGTCGAAATCCAATAATCCATTGGTTGGAATTCACCATGAACTGACATCAGTTGGAGGAATCTAGTACTCACTGGTAACTAACTATATCGTGAACTAATAAAAGTAGGAAATATGGACCATTGGATTCCGACCCAGTGGCTCAACGGTAACGTACTACTCGCGGAACATGAAGGTCCTGAGTTTGATTCCTGGTGGAGGTCATGGGTCTACACTGCTGAAGAGTTCAAAACTTGAGCGAAACAGCTGTCCAGTACTTTCCAATCTTTAATATTGTTCTAATTGTTGTTTTGCCCTTAAAATATAATGTACCCCTCCCTCTCATTTTGATATCTTTTATGTCAAAAAAAGGAGGAAGTATGTATGTTCTTTTCGGTTAAAACTCAGCAAACTAAGACTATTGAAGACAGAAAACATTAGATAGAACTCATGTTTAGAATTGCTAGGAGAAGAAAGATATTTGAAGGTGATACATATACCTTGAATACCTTATCTTATTTAAAGAAGTATACACTACTTCTACCTTTAACAGGGTTGTACCATTGGTAATGAGATGTAAGTGTGGACCTATGCCTGATTGATTTAAAAAGTTGACTTTTAATCAATGGATAATTTGCTCAAAACCAGCTCCACCTACTAAGATTTTAGTAGTAGTTAGACAGTTTCATTACCTCTCATACAATAGATATGTCTCATTGTTGTTCACTGATCGAATATGCAGCATATGGTTGCTGATTGCATTTCCATTCCAATCTGAATGACAGGTAAGCTCATCATCATGCTATAATCCACATTATCGACTACTTAAACTACTGAAAATAACGAACATATACTCATATTTATTCCAGGTGTCATATAACACGGTCGAATAATACATGTGTAGCACTTAAGCTTTTCAAAGTCGAAATACATATTTCTAAATAACTATTCAGCATGAATTATCGTGACAAGAAATCTCCTATCATGAATAGTATCATGACAAAACATTAAACAAATGAGTATGTTTCCAATCTATTTTCTGAGTAAAACAGTAATCTGATGCACACATAGAATATTGAAACAGTAATCTATTATTATCATCTTTTGTTCACAAACAGTACAATCCAGGACGCGTTATTTGGTATAATCCAACTATCCATATAGGAGCCTATCTGCTAACAGAGTTGAAACAATTCGATCCTATACAGCAATGGGAAGTTATAAGTATTAAAATAACATTAATCGATAACTTATTGTTCAGATCAAGTTAGAACTGCAACTTTATGGTGCTCAGGATTTCCACTTGTGTTGGAGGATTTATGTTCACTTGTAGTTCTGTGGCTGCCCTGCAGGTAGTATTTCTGGAAGAAGCGAAGGTGGTGGTCGATTCAAGAGCTTTTGAAGTGGTCAGCCAATTGTTTCCTTTGTTTCTCCCATCGCTTTGGTAATTAGATTTCTTTCTCCAATAGTGGTGTGAGCATGTCCGCTGTTGTCCCTGTGCTGCTTTTCAGTGCTTCTGGTGGGATCCCATCTGGTCCTGCTGCTTTCTCACATTTCAGTAGCTTTATGGCACTCAGGACTTCCACTTCTGTTGGAGGATTTATGTTCACTTGTAGTTCAGCGGCTGCCCTACAGGTGCTATTTGTGGACGAAGTGCAGGTGGTAGTGGTGGTAGTGGTCGATTCAAGAGCTTCTTGAAGTGGTCGGCCAGCCCATTGTTCCCTTTGTTTCTCTTCTTTCGTAATTCAATTTCCTTCATCATCCTTTATTGCCTTTGTCTGCGTTGATCTCTTCCCTGTCAGATAGTAACCTGGTTATTTGATACAATGTCGTCAGGTCTCTGTCTCTCCTACCTGCAGCAGCCTGTTCTGCTTCACTTGCCAGTGTTTCCTAGAAGTGTCTTTTGTCTTTCCGTGCACTCTTCTTCACTTCTTGCTCCAGTGTTTTATACACTGTACTCAGTTCCTCTTGTCGTTGTGCATCCTTGCACTGGTTTATCTTCTGCTTCACCATCCTCCTCTCCTGCTCTATCAGCTTCCATGTGTCCATCGGGATCCATCCCTTGTCTTCTTTCTTCTTCCTTCCTAATACGGTTGTGCAGGTTTCTCTCCACATCTCCTTCAAAGACTTCCAGTGTTCTTCCACACAGGTTTCTTCAGGGATGTTACTCGTATTCTCCCATTTTGTCTTGATGGCTGGCTGCCTTGAAGATTTCCTTTGTAGTTTCATCCTTCAGTTTCCGAGTGTTGTACTTGAATTGAGGTCTATGACCAGCTTCCTTGAAGGCTTTTAACTTGATTTGGAAGGTTCCTTTCACTAGACAGTGAGTGGTCTTAACCTACATCTGTCCTCTTCTTGACCTTGTGTTAAGTAGACTGCGTCTCCATTTTCTTGAGATTGAGATAAAGTCGATCTGATTTTTAGTGTGTGTCCGTCTGGTGAAATCCATGTCACCCGCTTTATGGATGTCCTTGTGCTTGAACACAGTGCCTCCAATCACTAAACCATTGAAGGGCATAATTTGCAAACAGTTCTTCATTCTCGTTCATCACCTCACCTAGCGCTTCTCGACCCATGGTTAGTTCTCTTCCTGTGTTGTCTGCTCCAGTTTGGCGTTCATGTCATCCCACCCATTAGAATTTTGATATCGCCAACTGAGGTCTTGTCCAGTGTTGACTGAAGTTGTCTGTAGAATTCCTCCTTCTTCTCTCCATCTGCATTATTTGTAGGTGCGAAGCATAGCATTGCATGATTGTGACCTTCCTTCCTTCCTTTTGAGTTGAACCTTGCTGTCATGATCTTGATACTGCATGAGGAGATTGGTTCTCACTGCATAAGGGAGAGCCTTCGATGCTCCTGGGGACGTCATGATAGCCACTCCATAACTCAGTGTGCTCGTGGTTGTCGTCTGAGTGACAGTATCGGAGTAGATTATTGATTCTCCAGTTGACAGTTTGGAGAGTCCACTCCCATTCCATCTACTTTCGCAAATTCCTAGCACTTCAATGCGATACCTTCTCATCTCGTTTGCAATCTGGGCTGCCTTACTGGGTTCAAACATAGTGAGGACATTCCATGTCCCCACGTTCACTTTCGCTTTCATCGAGGGAGAGAAGAGACATCGGGCAATTGGCTTCCGGAGGCTTTCACCAACTGGCGTCATTTCGCCTCTTCGATTCCAGCGAGGAATAATTTTGTTTTTATTTTTTATATATCGTTTGTGCTTTGAAGTTTGTTTAGCGGTTAGATTTGTTTTACGGGGTAGGGTTGCTAGCCCTATGCCCAATCTTCCCTCTTTACCCGGGCTTAGGACCGGCTAGTAACTAGTGAACTACGTATAAATTGAAAATCAACTAATTTACAATGATAATTTGGTAATTTCTTCAAATTTTCATGAACAACTATTCAACACTAACACTTAGATTCCATAACCATTAGAAATGTAGCACAGTTGTTTAGAAGAATATCATTTCATACTGAGACACTTTGTACTTAGGTAGGCATTAAACAAGAACATGATAATTTACCAATAGTATCTGAAAAGTTAATTACACTGAAAATTACTACCAGACTATATAACTTTATCATTTTTAAGGTAGATGGCATTGCAAACTGTACAATGAAGAATATGAATGAAAATCGAAAAATTTCAGGTTGATAAATGAAGCAGTTAAAAAGTCACTGTATCATAACAGTTCAATTTGCTGTTTCTTTCTAACCAATAACAGTCGTTGAAGCGAAAGAATTGAGTGTGAAAGTTTGTATTTAACCGACATTTTTAACAGTCATTCACGGTAATGATCTAATATCCCGTCTAGGTAAAAAGTAATATACGGACTTTTTAAATGCGGTTTCTTACTTCTGAGACAGTGGAGAAGATTTACAGCTCACATTAAGGATTATTATTATAATTACTTTTCCCTTGGGTCAAACAACCCAATATAAAAATATCACTAGACAGAGAAAAGTCGAACTTAAATAGAGTTGATGACTGGAAAGATACAAGCTATTGGTCATTTCAGGATTACAATAAGCATTCACTGCACTACTGAACCCACCCACGCACTACCAACTGAGTTATAAGATTCTACTCATGATAAGATCTCAGAATGACTTCAATCACTGTCAGGTAAGTGAAACACACGTACTTGGTTCAAGATAACTACCAACCAATCAGATTTTAACATCACAATTCGAATTGAGCTGTATTAGAAAGCATGAAAGAGAGGAGATAGACAGAAAGATTCGGTTGGTCGACTATCGATTATCAGGTTGATTTTCCTTCAATGGTGTTATGTTCTCTGAGCTGGATAGATTTCCTTTTGAAGTTTGTGCTGATGATGTTGTCTAGAATGACAATGAAGGCTTCATGAATCAACAACTATCCAGCTCAAAAAACACAATACCATTGAAATCCTCCTCTTGACTTACAAGTATTCTCCATCATCTCAAGATCTTATGAGCATCAAACACTTCTTATTGTTAAGTTGATTTTCATCTATATAGGTTAAATGAAAAAGCCAGAAAGAAACCTTCTATAGCAACAGGATGGTTGATAAGAAATGATGAGAGATAAGCTATCAACTGCATAAAAATCAGTGCAGTGGACAATAAGCAACATCAGTACACTATGTAACCCTTCCCCCATTTATATACACTGGAGTGAACCAAAAACGTGAAACTTTACTTCAAAAACTTCAAATGAAGAACGAAGTTAGCCTTACTACTTTGAATCTAAATCCTATGCCATGCGGAGCTGTGATCTAGTGGTTTCTGTAGTGGGTTCTCAACCAGTGGGTCATGGGTTCGAACCCCACCTCGCCTGCGGAGGTTTGGGCAGCCAGGAAGTATCACTAACCCCCACACAATAGAAGTGGTTCGCTGTCTACTCCACCAATGAGCACAAGGTTGTTGGAGATGCAAGCAGAAACAAGACTCATGCCTATCTATATTTGACCATAGGGAACATGAAAGAATATGAGTCACTTCATGTTGTTACTTGTATTATCCCGTCATTGACTGGATACAAATGATCGGTCTCGATTAGCATATGGGCTCCTGTGCAGATGCTTCGATATTGCACGTGTCTCAGTCATGCAATATTGATGGATAATGGTTAATAGTTGAGTCTAGAATGCCCGTTTCGTCCTATATGGGACACGTCAGCTGGATGTACATACCTTCCAGTGAGTGATATTGTTCCCACTTAGACTCGAACCCGGGACCGATCGTTTCAAATGTCAGAGAGTTATCCATAAGGCCTATGAGTCACGAAGCACGCGTCCTAGATACCACTGCTAGCCATTATCCATCGTAAATGTATGAAAGTCACTTCATTTGTGTGAAGATGGATAGCTTTACATTTTTCGCAAATATTTGGTTTGACGAAATCTTCACGTTCATCAGCTTTGTATTACAGTCTTAGAACTTCGTTACATTACTAGATGTTGATAGTAGATGCATTGGTGGGTTGAGTCGCTTGTCAACTAGGCTGCTCAACAGTTCTGCTCTCACCAGTGTTCAAAGATTATCCAGTCGGTCTTGTGATCAGGTCTAAGTCCTTATTCGTTGATTTTCGTTGTGACATAAACCGATATGGACTTTTCGGATTGAAACTTAGCTGTTTAGCCAGGTTGTTCTGGTATGTGTACCTGTCATTACGAACTTTTTATCACATAAGTTGCGTAACGTCTTGTAGCTAAGACGGTCTGATTCCTTGCGTGATGTATACCACCGACACCATACCTTCTTTTTCCTTTGTATTTGCCTATGGGCTGCTCGAGTTACACAGGACCGTTTGAAAGGTGGTCATCTGGTTAATTTTGGAACACCCTCACCGATAGCGCTCCACATAATATCTTTAATATGTATTCAGTGTTCGTCTATCGATAATGAGTGCCATTCTTGTGGCCATGCAGCCTCCAGGAATTCGTTGTTTATGAGATGGCAGTCTGCTTTTCGGTAACAGCGGGACGCTTCTGGCTCAACCATTGGTGGTGTCTCCTTGGTTATCAGAGAGAAACTCACCAAGGCATGGTCGCTTTTATCTAGGGAGGGGGGGGGTTGGACACAGATATCGTCCACCAAAAGATCATCGTCTGTTAGAACGTAATCGACTGGTGATCCTTTTCCATCTGGTCACCAACCTTCTCTGTCAGTCCTGCTGCCATAAACGTATTTCGAAGTTTGTATTCGAAAGATTTATGCCATATCTTGCTTCACATCCAGGGTTAAGTGCCAGTGTGCTAAAGTCTCCAGCTAGGACTATATGGTCATAGGCCGCTGAGGTGGTTGCTGAAGTGGCATTGAGTAGTTGTACCTTATGCTCTGTCGTGCATGGAGAGGCCTATATACCACTCCCAATAGGTACTTAGTTTGGTTTATGGTGAAATAGCACCATAAGGTGTCTGGTAGTGAGCTGAACACACTATCAGTCACTTCCTTGACTTTTAGATGAGTGCAAATATATATGGCAACTGCTCCGCCTTCTTTGAACTGCAAAGTGATGCATCTTCGCATACCAGAGGCGATGAAAACCAGCTACACTACTAACACGCGTCTCCGTGATGAGAATTATATCTGCTTTCAGATTGTGGCACATTGTTTTTAGCTACAGTAGTCTACTTCTAGGACCTCTTGCATTGCTATAGAAGCACGTCAAGGAGCTACGTTCTGGGCTTAGTGCTATACGGGAACTTGTTTGGAGGCCAGTGTGCCGTTGCATTGCATTCTGACTGTCAGTCCCTACTGGACTGACAGGCCTCCCTCTAAGCGGTATTGTTTATTGTATCTACAGGTAGTTCACTAGCTAGTTCTTTTCTGACTAGTGCTGCTTGTAGTTTTCTCAGAAGTTGTCTCCTATCTTCTAGTCTGGCAGCTAGTGGTTTACTCTCACAGCAACGTATAGCACCTCCCATGTGGTCTTTCATACGGTACCATGCTGTTAGTAAGGCTTTGCAGTCAAAGCGTGCAGCTAACAATCTTGGCGAGAAAGTTTACCTTTACTTATCCCTTATGATTGTAATAGTTCAACTACTAGGATTCCGCTAAAATTCAGTAGGTATTAACGCCTTCTTAGTGTCAGTTTACAGTGACTATTTCTTAAGGTTGCATAAGATGGATTATAAATCCAAACAAGATCGTTAACAGGTAAGGTAAAAATTTCGATGACCTCATCGGCTACATCACATGTAACCTGAGAGATTCAGATGAAAGCTAGTTACTCTGCATAAATTAAGCGAAACTAGAAAGTCAGAGGAATGTATTTCGAAGAGAGTTGCCATGTGACTTCACTTTTACATTACTTGTTCAAACGTTTAAGCGGATGAGTGTCATACAATGGTTAGTGGGTTCGAACCTAGCCTCACTTACCAAGGTTGAGCAGCCAAGTAGTATCGTTAGTCCTCACACAATAGACATGGCTCAATGTCTACTGCACGGATGTCCACAAGGTGGCTGAGTGTGTTTCGTTTTTCGTTCAAACCAAATATCATATGACTCTCTCTCTTCGAGAAATTTTCCAACAATAATAAATACAATACGACTTCCGTTATTTGGTTGAAGGTAATTGGGAGAAAGTTTCGTGGTTGTTAACACTCGGAAGTAAGACGTATCTACAACCTCGAGGAAACTGATGTCCTCTATTGCAGCCAGTGATGTCACCACTGAGGTATTCGGGCCACAACTGACTTAAAATCCATAAATATCAACTAACTTGTTATATTTTCATCTTAAAGAAACTGTACCATTGAGAAATTATCTAAACTGGACACTAATATCTAACTAGACACCACCACCACCAACAACAACAACACATACATACACTTTACTCACTTCCAACTTTTCAATGACACGTTCTTTTTCAACTAATAATGCACGTAGATGATTGATCTCTTCACCATCATCATCATCATCGTTTTTATCTCCAGTATTAATTTGTTTAGTTGAACAATTCATTCGATATTGTGGACAAATATCTTGATGTATCCGATGTTGACGTTCAAGTAGACGAATTACTTCACGTGCTTTCCATAAGTAACCACGATATTTTTGTTCCATTTCAATGAAATCATTCTCTTTTTGTGTTAATCTAGTTAACAAACTATTATATGATTCTTGTAAATCATCATGTTGTTGATGATGATTAGAATGGTCTGTTGATTGAATAACATCAGAAGTGATTGATAGTGCACAATCTGTTGTCTTACAATGTAGAAGATAATCATGTGATGTACTTGTCACTAGCATATCTGATGGTGATTGTCCTATAAGTAGATTTGATTCATATACTGACTTATCATCATTGTAGTCATCTTCATCATAAACTGATACTGTAACACCGCTACTATCATGACCAACATTACCACCACTACCTTCTGTACTGTAAAATGATGTACGTAATCGGCTAAGTTCTTCTTGTAAATTCAACATTTGTGATTGCATTGCAGGAGACAACATTAGGCTAGGATCCATCTGACAGGTATTCGTATTGCTTAGAGGTCTTTCATCTAAAATATAAAACATACATATGATAGTGTAATCGATTTTCAGGTAACATAGGTTAGTAGTAATGGTGCTTTAATATAGATGTAAAACTTGGACACTGTACTAGAATTTAATTCCAAATTAAATTTATTTATTTGATTTATAACACACACTGGTAGAGTATTATTTAATTGATGACGACTTTTCGAGCACAAATTATTATTATTATTATTAGCCCCTTGGGTTCCTAATGGAACATAGAGCTTCACTAGCACGTCTTCATTTCCCTCTCTTCTCTGAAGTCCTTTGAACCTGGCACCACGACAGCCCACAAGCTCTCATTTCCTCCTCACACGATCTCCTCCATGTCACCCTCACCTCGAATACCCAACTCGTCGCTTCCAATTTGGGTTCCACTCGAGGGCCTCGCCTGACGCGTGATGTCCCCAGTCGGTCTTCTCAGTGTACGCCCAATCCAATCCATCTCCATTTCCTTCCACTGCTTATTTGTTGAGCGATAGGTTCTTGGTTGGTTCGTCCCCACAGTTCCTTGTTGCTTGTTCTTATTATTCTGACCATCTGATCTCCAGTAACGAGCCAGTGTAGACAGTTGTTGATGAATGTCTGTAGTTTATTGGAAATCCCTTTCGTAACACGCCAAGTCTCTGAACCATACAGAAGCACTGACTTGACGTTGATGTTGAAAATCCGGATGTTGTCCACGCTTTATGCTGAGTGCAGAAGATCTCCACACTGGTTTCAGGCTAATGAACGCCTGTCTCGCTTTTCCCATTCTGACTTTGACATCCTCGTCTGTGCCTATGCTGCCTGTAGTTGAAACAGTGCTTCCTAGATAGGTGAAGGAGGTTACTTCCTTTAAGTTTCTTCCATTCATGGTGATTGGAGCTTGCTGTTGTTGTTGGAGTTGTTGGTGCGCTATCTTCATCACTTCTGTTTTCTCTATCTTCACTTGAAGTCCCGTCTTCGCTGGCCTGCCTCACCTCTTCTGTCAACTTGTTAGTTTTCGCCTGTAGATCATCAAGTTTGTGTGACATTAGACGTAAATCATCAGCGAAATCCAAATCTTCTAGGTTCTTTTCAGCAGTCCAGCGTATCCCCCTCTTCTCACAGCTCCTCACTGTTTGTTGCATGATCAAGTCCAGTCGACCACAATCAGGAATATCATGGGGGATAGTAGGCAACCTTGTTTCACTCCTACTCCTGTCTTCACTTCAAAAGCATCACTGAGCCTCCCATTGTGAATTACTTGGCTGGTATGTGGCGTTTTCATATAGTTGTTGAATGAGGCCGATAAAGGTTTGCGGTACTCCGTAGTAATGAAGCAGTTTCCAAATTACCTCTCGATCGACGCTGTCAAAGGCCTTCTCAAAGTCGATAAAGTTGAGGTGTGGAGTTGACTGCCATTCTATACTCTGTTCTATGATGATGCGAAGTGCAGCGTTACAATTTGGTCCGCACATGATTTGTACTTCCTGAATCCAGCCAGCCTGTTCCGGTCATAGTTTTGAATCCAGTGCATCCTTAAGCCTCTCCAGGATGATGTGGCTTAATATTTTGCTTGCTTTGGGTGAACAGGAGAGTGATTCCGCGCCAGTTCTTGTAAACACTGAGGTCTCCCTTCTTCAGGAGTTTGACTAGGTAACCCTTCTTCCAATCAATAGGCAGCTACCTTCTCTTCCTTCCACACCTTCTGCAATGGTGGTGTATTGTGAGCATGTCCGCTGTTGTCTCTGTGTCTGTTCTCAGTGCTTCTGGTGGGATCTCATCTCGTCATGCTGCTTTCCCACACTTCATTAGCTTTATGGCGTTCAGGACTTCCATTTTTGTTGGAGGATTTATGTTCACTTGTAGTTCAGCGGCTGGGCTGTAGGTGGTATTTCTGGACGAAGTGCAGGTGGTGGTGGTGGTCGATTCAAGAGCTTCTTGAAGTGGTCGGCCCATCGTTTCCTTTGTTTCTCTTCTTTGGTAATTATATTTCCTTCATCATCTTTTATTGGTTTCGTCTGCGTTGATCTCTTCACTGCCAGATAGCAACCTGGTTATTTGATACAAGGTTGTCAGGTCACTCTTATAACTAATCATAATCATATCAATGTAATCATACTACTTTCAACATCTTCTTATAGTCCTGTCACATCTTATTCTTTATTTCTGTTGGTAGAACAATTTTCCATATCTCTAATATAGGTGTTGCTTCATTCCTACTACACATGTGTTGGGTGTTGATTCGATGAACAATGATTCAGTAATCAATCTCTGCCTCAATCTCCGCCTAATTATATTGGACTTAAGTACAGTGGTTTTATCCCACCCTATTGTGTTAATGTATCAATTGTCACAGTCGAGTTTTTCCTAGATTATTGATCTTATTCAAGTCTTTCATTTAGCTAAATATTCCTGTGTTCGGCTATTCTAACTGACCCCAGCCGGCTAGTGTGACCTATATACTTGACCTCACAGTCATTACATGGAATTTGATAGATTAGATTATTTCGCTTAATTGGTTCAATCGGATCCGTAGGCCAGCTGACAAAGCTTATCTCTACTGAGTGAGTTTGTAGGTTTAAATGCCACCTTAATTCCAGCTTTGTTGAGAATCCTACGTAAAGTTTCTGATATACCTTCCGTATAGGGTAACACAATGGAGGTTTTGAACTCCTTTCTACTTGTGCTGTCATTGTTATTTGTACTCGTGTTACTGTTAACTTTTCGTTTCTTGTGTGTTCGTACAAATTTCTTAATAAAATGTAGAGGATGATTATTAACTATTAGGGCTTCTTTTATGTGTTTCAATTCCTTGTTTAGGTCCTTGCATTGACTAGTCAATTTTCTAGCTCTATCATTGAGACATTTGACTTAACTTGCCTTAACTGACATTGGATGAGATGACTTGAAATCTAGATACCTGTTAGAATGTGTCCAGTTTCTGTAGACGGTAGTATCCAAACCATTGTCTGTCCTTCGTTTTATCCTACAATCCAACATAGGCAATTCTCTTTGTTCATTTTCTACCTCATAAGTGAATTGGATTGCAACTACTAAGGAGTTTAGAAAAATCAAATGTCGAAAGTAGTATGATTACATTGATCTGACTATGAGTAGTAATAATTTATGCTCGAAAAGTCGTCATCAAGTAAATCATACTATATAACTGTTTCCTGTGAATGAAATAAACAAATCTAATATGGAATTAGTAATGGTGCAACAGGTACTAATCACCATCAATGGGAGAAACCTAAAGGAAGTTGTCTCTTTCACCTACCTAGGTGGCATCGTTTCAACTACAGTTGGCGGCACAGATGAGTATGTCAAAGGCAAGATCCGAAAAGCAAGACAGGCAAGCATCAATTTGAAACCAGTGTGGAGATCTACTGCATTCAGCACAAAGAACAAGATCTGGATTTTCAACACTGTCAGTCAAGTCAGTGCTTCTATTTAGTGGTTCAGAAACTTGGTGTGTCATGAAAAGCATTTCCAACAAACTAAAGACATTCATCAACAGCTGCCGTTTACACTCACTCGATACTGAAGATCAGATGACCAGAAAGGATAAGAATAAGCAAAAAGGAACTCTGGCTGGCTGGCAACGAACCAATCAAGAACCCACTGCCCAGAAGTGAGTGGAGAAGGGTTAATTTGGATTGGACATACACTGAGAAGATCGTTTGGGGACATCATGAGTCAGGCCAGGCCTTCAAGTGGAACCGAAATGGGAAACGATGAGTTAGTCGTCTGACAATGACTTGGAGGAGATCGAGTGAGTTATTGCAGTTGATTTTGTAAATGGTATTTGGTTTGCCTTCTTTGGCTGTCTCATCCTTTGGTCTGCATAATAGTGTTTGCAGGGAATTTGTTGGTTTATAAGCCACACCAATTCCACCAAGTGGTTTCAGTTATCTTGTCGTGATTTCTAATATATATTCTTTATGTATGGTAGGATGATGCGTTTGTTGATTTATGTCGATGATGATGTATGGGATAGGCATCTTGTGATAAAGTTTCATGGGTAGCCGTTTTTCTTTAGGATAGATATCAAGTAGTTTTCTTCGTTTCTTCGTGAAGTTATGTTGTACTTCAGTATGTTCTCGCTCTTTTGAATAGAGTCTGCATGCAATTGATTTTGTGTATTGTTGGGTTGTTACTACTATAGTTAAGAGTTTGATCAGTGTACGTGAACTTCTTGTACACTTGGATTTCCAGTTTTCTGGCATTCATCCTACTAACTAAAACATTCAAGAATGGTAGTTGGTTATTTGACTCCTTCTCCACTGTGAATTTGATGTCATTGAAAACGTTTTTCAAATCATCTTTTCTTTTTTTTTTTTAATGAACACAAAAATATTATCCACATAAACATATCTAAATTTTTAGTATGAACAAAGGGAAAAATGATGGTTTCCAGTCTCTGTATCCCTGTTTATGCAATTAGTCCAGATATCAGTGATCCCATTAAGGTTCTTTTCATCTGTTTCTATAGTTTACCGTTCATTTGAAAAGATGCTGATAGACAAGAATCAATAAGTTCCATCAGACTTGAACATTCAAGATATTCATAATTGTTTTGTTTTTTTCCATACTGATTTCATTACACGACTAACACAATAGATCGATTATTATTCCACCTGATAAAAACTTACATCCATTTTTACTTATTTATTATCTCAACTTCCTCATAACACTGACTGTGTCCATATTGAAATAATTTTACGTCTTACATTGACCATGGGTTTATAACCGTAGAGACTGAAGAAGAAGTTATTGAAAACAATTGTTCGCTCAAATTACTCTTCTTCTAAACAAGCTAAGAAGTCTCAAGAGAGTTACATCATGATACACAGCATAAATTCACAAATTGATTTGAGCTGAGCATTTAATATTTCTAAAGTGTTCGTGATGAAACAAACATATTGATGGTAACTGAATTCAGTTGATATAATTTAAAATTATCATTAGAACACAAAGTGAAATATAACGACCTGCTATGACTGGGAGTATCACCTAAAAGTCTACGAGTGATACAAACCTAATGCAAATCAGAAAGTCAACCATCATCATAACAACAATACCATCGACATGCAATAACAGGAAGAGAAGATTGACTGTTGACACAGAGTTTTACTATCTCAACGACAGTCAATATAATTGACAGTGATGCTGAATATATACATTTCTAAATAACCTTATGATTATATTATTATTTGTCCCTTGAGTTCCTAATGGAACATAGGGCTTCACTAGCACGTCTCCAGTGAACTCTGTTGTCTAAAATCTTTTGAACCAGGCACCACGACAGCCCACAAGCTCTCATTTCCTCCTCACACGATCTCCTCCATGTCACCCTCACCTCGAATACCCAACTCGTCGCTTCCCATCTGGGTTCCACTCGAGGGCCTCGCCTGACGCGTGATGTCCCCAGTCGGTCTTCTCAGTGTACGCCCAATCCAATCCATCTCCACTTCCTTCTGCATATTTGTTGAGCGATAGGTTCTTGGTTGGTTCGTCCCCAGAGCTCCTTGTTGCTCATTCCTTCTGGCCACCTGATCTTCAGTATTGAGCGTTAGCAGTTGTTGATGAATGTCTGTAGTTTATTGGAAATCCCTTTCGTAACGTGCCTAGTCTCTGAACCGTCACACAGAAGCACTGACTTGACGTTGATGTTGAAAATCCGGATGTTGTCCACGCTTTATGCTGAGTGCAGAAGATCTCCACACTGGTTTCAGGCTAATGAACGCCTGTCTCGCTTTTCCCATTCTGACTTTGACATCCTCGTCTGTGCCTATGCTGCCTGTAGTTGAAACAGTGCTTCCTAGATAGGTGAAGGAGGTTACTTCCTTTAAGTTTCTTCCATTCATGGTGATTGGAGCTTGTTGTTGTTGGTTGGGTATCTTCATCACCTCTGTTTTCTCTATCTTCACTTGAAGTCCCGTCTTCGCTACCCTGCCTCACCTCTTCTGTCAACTTGTTAGTTTTCGCCTGTTGATCTTCAAGTTTGTGTGACATCAGACACAAGTCATCGCCAAAATCCAAATCTTCTCGGATATTTTTTCCGGTACAGCCAGCGTATCTCCCTCTTCTCACAGCTCCTCACTGTTTGTTGCATGATCAAGTCCAGTCGACCACAATCAGGAATATCATGGGTGATAGTAGGCAGCCTTGTTTCACTTCTGTCTTCACTTCAAAAGCATCACTGAGCTTCCCATTGTGAATTACTTGGCTGGTATGTGGCATCTTCATATAGTTGTTGAATGAAGCTGACAACACTAAATCCACATTTAGGTAAAAAATAATTAACAACCAATGAGAGTTCAACCTTGAGAACGCAGGGAAGAATTGTAATTATTATTATTATTATAGGGACATAATGAACGCACAAAAGGCGGAAGAGAGAATGGAGACATAAACAGAAGAGAGTTATTAAAGAAGCTGTTTCGAAGAAAGACATGAAAAAGCATTGACTACTTTGCTCTTACTGTTCAGTAGCAGAAGAAATAAGAAAACCGTAGAATGATGACTACAGATTGCGATTCTGAGCCATGTCTACTATCATCTCAAGTCACTGAGTTGTATGATCACTCCAACCGCTCTTAGGAAGTTGAGGCACCTAAAGATACCAACGCAGCACAAATATCCTTCATCTCACGAGACCACGTTATAACCATCCCACAGCTTCTTCCAACAAGTTCCAGTGTAGTGAACTGTGAGCGCTGTGGGAGCTGTTAATAAAACACGCCGGAGCCGATGTTTCAAGATGACCACACTCAGTGAGCGATGATCTCCATTACGCCGAAACATGCACTCCTACTTCACAATTACTTACATGATATCTCTATTGGCTGAGGGCAGCCCTATAGAGATACAAGTGGTCGGACACAGAGTGGTCAAAGATCCTCAGCTCCGGGAGGCGGTGTTCCATAGGCGTAGAGCAGAAGGACCTTTTTAGACGCTTTGCTTACCCAACGTCTTACAGAAACGTTAATATCACCATGGGGTCAAAAGTGACCCAGATAGGCGAATGCCACTCTAGGTTTCAAAATACCGCTGACAGTCACACCAGCCACGACTACTTAGGTACACAAATTTTTCATATATTCCGAAATAGTTACCTTAAAAAGTGGATGCAAATAGCTTTCTATCAATCTTGTAGAGGCGCCTGGCACATAGACGGGGGAAAACATAAACTGATCGCTAACTGACTGAGTGCAATTCAAATAGTCTGGAGGTTATCGCACTGTAAACAATATCGTTTAGAGACTCCAGGATGAAAATTATTTCACTTGGTAACAAGCCAACACCACCCCAACGCACCTCTTTCACGGAGGTCTCGCGGATATCATCAATGGCTAAGTTGAAGAGTATAGGTGAGATTGGGTAACCCTGTCTACCCTCAAGTATTGGTTTAGAACAATAGAGATAGATGGCTGCAAGCCTTCATTCTACTCCAGGTTTTGAAGTATAGGGCTTTCAAGAAGTTAACAACTTATCAAAAACACCCCTTTCTAACAGACGATTACAGAGTATAGCCCTGTCAAGCGACTCAAAAACAGCCGTAATATCGAGGAACACAACGATGATCTACCTGAAACTTGTGTGACGGTGTGAAGAGCATGAAGAGTGACCATCCACAACATGATCTTTGCGCATCACTTTACGATGCGTTTTGTACAGCCTACTAAGTATAATAGCAACCAACAGCTTAGATACTATCGGGTACCAGACTGATACTTCAGTGATAATCATATGCATTATGTAGACCCTTTTTAAAATACTATTGTTCTATATCATCTAGTCCTACCCCTAAAACATGTTTCTTTCGCCTCCTCTTCTTCTCTAGATTCATGATGAGTATTGGCATGAGTATTGTTATTCATGAGTTGGTAGTCATAAATGATAATAACATATGATACACTTACAGTTCGACTGTGCACACAATTGGAGACCTTCACAACAAGATCTGAGACGTGTGAGTTCCGAAAAGATACACTGCAAATATAAATAGTAAAGAAATAATAAAAAAAATAACGCTTAGATCATTATTTCATACACGGAATAAAAGTTATTCCACACAGTATTCTTTATAAAACGATGTGGAATTACATTGTACCGCCAGTTATAAATCACTAACTAAAGATGGATATATGAAGCACACATTATGAATATCACATTTTCTTTTCTTTATCATCTACGCTGAGTTTGAACATGAAATGATCAACAGATAAGTTCAATTCTTCAACAAAGAGATTAGTTCAACTCCTTCAACTTTCATGAATACTAACTATTTCACAGACTAATAAGATGAATACTTATGAATTTATGCTTCATATTCGAAACCACCATTTTCTGTGTGATCACAGATTACTGTCACCACAGTACTCCTATGGCGACAGCGGTGCATATAATCTTTAAAACAAACTAACGATATTAATGATGGATCGAAACGAAGTATACCCAACAACCTTGCGCATATTTGTGCAGTAGCCAATGAGTCATACCTAGTGTGTGAGGGCTGATAATACTACCCAGCTGACTAAACCTCTGTAGGTGGAGCAGTGTTTGACCCCATGACTTATTGGTTAATAGTCATCTCTCTAAGCCAATGAACCACAATTTCATGTCAACGATGAATAGTGATTAGCAGTGGAATCCAGGACATGTGCTTCGTCAGCTAAATATATATCTGCCTCCCAGTGAGCGATGTTGTTCCCATCAAGACTCGGATCCAAGACCAATCACTTCAAAACTCAGTATGTTATTCACGAGGTCACTTAGTTACAGTAGCCACTGCTTGAACGATGGGTATAGTATAGTCTTTAATGTTACAGCTTGTGAATCCCCGTTGTTGACTGGACCGAGTTAATCGGCCACTATTCACGTATAGTCTAATCAACCACATCGAAGAGAAAACACTAATAATGTAATATTATCATCCATTTACAGGTGAGTTGGATAGGTATCCAAAACTAATGATTACTTCTTCTAACAGAGACTAGAAGATTAAACATATGCACACACACACGCACACGTTTACAAAAAATTTATACACTATCCTAAGAAATGAAATTTATTCGAGTCAAAGTGCTAAAATTTTTGACTATCAGTGTATCTTAGGTTGGAATTCATCAGGGAATGACATCAATTGGAAGAACATTGGGAACCTGGGAGCATTAGACAGCTGTTTCATCCTAGTATTGGACTCCTCAGAGCTGCCCATCTATGACCCCGCCCAACAAGTAATCGAACCCAGGACCCTCAGGTTCCATGGCCAGGACGTTACCATTGAGTTAGACAATAGGTCGGAATCCAATGATCCATATCTCCTAATTTTGTCAGTTCACGAATGGATTCACCATTGGATCCCGACATAGTGGCTCAATAGTAACTTTCTGGCCATAGAACCTAAGGTCCTGGGATCGATTCCTGGTGTGGTGGGGTCATACGTGCTCACTGCTGAGGAGTCCGACACAGCTGTCCAGTGCTCCCATGTTTTCAATGTTCCTCCAACTGATGTCATTCCATGATGAATTCCAACCTAAAAACAACTAATAAATTTCCACAAACCTTCAGACAGTATTAGTTTATTTATCAACATTCTGTTACCACATAGTGATTCTGAAACTTTGGTAGGTGTGCATCAGGATTCGAACCCATCAAACCGTTTTGTTTGAAAGTTGACAACCTACAGGGATCAGCATTAACAGCTTCATATGTGAAAAGAGTGATAAAAACCAATCTTGACAATCCACTAGGCAAGTTACCCTACAAAGACTCTAAATACAAGATAGGTAGTTGTAATGATATAGTGTTATTGCTTGTCGTTGACATGGTTAAAAGACAAGCAATATCGAGGCATCCGCATACGAGCCCATATGCCAACACAGACTGATGAATTCGGTCCAATCAATGACGGTGTAATACAAGCAATAACACTAAATCTATACCCGTCGCACAAGAAGTGGCTACCGTGGCTCGGTGGTGTAGTGGATGACGCGCTGGCGTTTGAAGCGGTCGCCCCCGAGTCCCGGTGGGAACAACATCACTCACTGGGAAGCAGGTACATCCAGCTGACGAGTCCCAAATGGGACGAAGTGCGCATACTGGATCCCACTGCTAGCCACCGTCCGTCATTACTAAACACAGTTATAATGATACTTGTAGTTTTCCGTTGCTATACAGGGCCGAACTGCTCAATAACTGTTAACAGATGGGCTCCTGCTGATTATTCATGATGTCATATTGATCCGGTGACTAGCAGAGGAATCCAGAATGCGCGTTTCGTCCTATTTGGGATTCGTCGGTTGGATGTATCTGCACTTCAGTGAGTGGTTGTTCCCACTGAGGTTCAAACCCAATACCCATCTCTTCAAGATAAAGGAATTCGGCCCTATATAGCAACGGGAAATTACAAGTATCATCACAACAAATAATACACGTTGCACAAGAGGTGTCTATTGCGCCCCCAATACCCTAGTGGATAACGCTCTAGCGTTTGAAGAGAAGGTACAAGGTTCGAGCCTCGGTGGGAATATCACTCACTTGGGTGCAGGTACATCCGGTTGAAGAGTCACATATAGGACGAAAAGCGCGTTATGGATTCCTCCGCTATTCACCAAGATCAATATGATAAGATAAGTAGTTTTACTAACTATCAAGTGCTTTTAAAGATAGTAGCAATTTAAAAAGGATACAGTCAAGATACAATCAATTTAAAATGAAGTGAAAGTTACAACCATTACACAGTTATAGATTGACAACTGTTACTCATTCATTCATTAATTCCTGCAAGCAATGAATAAACATATGATTGTTTACTGCAATTTATACAACTAACTCATACAACTTTAAATTTGAAGACTAGTAAGATAAAAAAGACATATATTACTAGGTTACGTATCGACAGCTGGAAGACATATGCTGCCTTAGGGAAGCTTACATCACTAATGCAGGTCTACAGAAAAGACGTTAAATAGCTTCTCATCTAACATTCAAATCAAAATATCGTCTGGATACTCCAAGTCAACTAGATGACCTCTAAGGAGTAGAACAATTCCTATGAAGTCAGACTTACCTAACGTTATGTTCATTGCTACGTCTATCAGGAAAGGAAATAGGAACAGTGGCAGTGGGCATTCGTGGTGGACAAGACTAGTTGCCGACAGTGTTGCAAGGTTGAGTAGACTTTTTATTGAATAAAAGAGTAATTAATCGAACAGCTGACTTGGTTGTCAACTCCGTTTACACGGAAAGTTGACTTGAACAACATAGGCTAATGATCAAAGAAGTCAATAAGAATGAAGATTTCAATTCCACTGAGATATGCAGCAGTCAAAACGCATTACTACACTCTACTTCATAAACTATTCTTATTATTATTTGTCTCTTGGGTTCCTAGTCGGACATACGGCTTCAGTAGCACGTCTCCATTTCAATCTCTCCTCTGCAATCTTTTGAACCTGGCTCCACGACTGCCCACTACCTCTCATTTCTTCCTCACACCATCTCCCCTATGTCGCCCTCGGACAACCAACTCATCCTTTCCCCTTCGGACTCCACTCGAAAGCATGGCCTATCACGTGACGTCCCCAACCACCTTCTCACTGTATGTCCAATCCATCTATCTCCACTTTCTTCCACTGCATATTTGTTGGCCGACAGGTTGTTGATTGGTTCGTTCCCAGCCAGCCAGCCAGCCACAGTTCCTTGTTGCTTATTCTTATTATTCTCGCCATCTGGTCTCCATCTTCAGTATCGAGTGAGCATATGTGGCAGCTGTTGATGTATGTCTGCAGTTTGTTGGAAATGCTTTTCGTGACGCGCCAAGTCTCTCAACCACACAAACAAGTGCTGATTCGACTGATATTAGTGTTGAAAATCAGGATATCGTTCACGCTTTATGCTGAGTGCAATGCAATGGAGTAGATATCCACACTGATTTCATATTAATGAAGGCCTGACTTGCTGTCTTTCTGATCCTGGCTGCTTTGACATCCTCATCTGTACCACCACCGCCGCCTGTAGCTGAGACGATGCTGCCTAGGTAGGTGTAGGTGAAAGAGACAACTTCGTTTAGATTTCTCTCCTTGATGGTGATTGGTGCTTGTTGTTATTGTTGTTGTTGTTGTTAGTTGGGTATCTTTATCACCTCTGTCTTCTCTACACCCACCTGAAGGAAGTCCCATCTTCGCTGCCTCACCTCGCCTCGCCTCTTCTGCCAACTTGTCGGTTTTCGCCTGTAGATCTTCGAGTTTGTGCAACAAGACATCATGCATAAATCATCATCAGTGAAATCCAAATCTTCTTCTGGGGTCTTTTCATCGGTTCGACCAGGGTATGCCCATCTTCTTGCTCCTCACAGTTTGTTGCATGATCCAGTCCAGTCGATCAGAATCAGGAAGATGGTCGGTGATAGTAGGCAACCTTATCTTATTCCTGTTCCCTATTTTCACTTCAAAAGGCATCACTGAGCTTTCCATAGCGTTGTGAATCACTTGGCATGTAGCGTAGTCATATAGATATTGAATAAGGCTGATAAAGGTTTGTGGTACTCCGTAGAGTTGAAGCAGTTGCCTGTCAAAATTAGTTCTTAATCGACGCTATCAAAGGCCTTTTCAAAATCGATCAAGTTGGAGTAAAGATACAGCTGACTGCTATTCTATGCTCTGTTCATAAATAATATTAGATTATAATTTTCTTCATAGCATTATTCATTTGTGATGCAACTTGGTAAATGTGAAATTTCGAGGTCATCTCCATATTTACGTAAGAACGATAAATCAGTCAAATAAGATTCTGAAAGTAGATCAGTTATGATGAGCTGAGATACATATTACACATTGCAAATGATCGTCTACCTCAGCTGAGCAAGAGGAAAGCTTAAAATGTAGGCGAGTTGGGATGTATCTCCATATGAAATTATATTCTATCTTTAAATGGTTGAAAATCATCTAGTGTTTAAATCAAGATGATAACACTTACAATGCATCAATCTATGCTAGACCGATTGTGAACCAGTCGTTAATTGAAGACTTACAATACAATAACAATAGGCATGTAAACATTAGATAATAGTAATAATACATAACATACCTCCTTCTCTCGATTTGAAGCAATTAATTCCTGTCTAACTTTATTCAATTCATTTTCAGCTAATTCTGCACGTCTAATTGCTTCATTCGCTTCTAATTGAGCATCTTCAGCTTGTAAACGTTGAGCTTTCACTTGTGAACGAATTTTACCACCTAAACGTGTCTCTTGTTCTAATTCAGCTAAACGTTGTATACATATTTGATTATCTGTTTCTAATTGTGAACATCTAACTCGTAGGTTAACAGCTTCATCAGCATATTTACGTAATTGTTCAATTGTAGCAGATAAACGTACAGCAGCTGAGGCTTCTTCACGTGCAATATCTAATTCATCTTTTAAGTGGACACTTTCTTCAGCTTTAGTAGCAAGAATAGAACACTAGAGAAATGTTTACCAAGAAGAAGAATATATGAATGAATTTACATAATGTATCAAAAGTAAACAATAACTACTTCGTTCCTTTATAACTTCAGACTAGATAATGATTAAGTGTAATAAATTTACACTACCTCAAGTGCTTGGTCATTAGACTACATGATTATACTGACTCTGTATATCGTTATGTAGGCAGTAAAATACAATTATCTCCCTTACACAATATAAACGTATCTCAAGGTCAAGTTGAACCAATCATATTACAAGCAGTTTTCACCATGGGATGAAATCAGAAAGTTCACAACAATTGTTTATTCAAAGTGTAGGAAATTCTCAACACTGTGCAATACATACTAGATATTTAAGCTTATACCAGAATAAGCATTTCATCGGAATTTACTTATCAATCTTATCATAATAATGAACAATAGTGAATAATACATCATTACTACTAGTAGTAGTGCACAGTGAATATACTCTAGCAGAAGCAAAATAGCTTTCTAAACGATTTCCTTATATTTCTGAAGACCTGATCATGTAATATTTACCACTTATTTTCGAGAAGTGAACTAATGAATATAGATTCATCATCATCATCATCAATATCAACATAGGACCAGGCATTACTGCATAAAGGTCTGAGTTGCCACCACACCTCCTATCAGTACATCAAGTAGAAAGGTAGTGAGGTGAAAGATGAAGACAAGAAAATTCAGTCGAAAGAAATATAAATCTCGAGAAGAAGGAAAGGAAGAATGACAAAATGGTGAGATTCGATATAGCGTCGTTAAGATGAGGATAATGTATGTGTGTAAATCTGCACCACTGACATCGGTTCTGAGCCATACCACCTAAAATCTCCAGCCACTGGTTCCTCTTGTCCCGTGGACCCCAACCACCTAGTATGTATCGCCCCCAACATGGCTCAAACCAACAGTCAAACGTTTTATACATTGATTCCATGATTTAGTCTGGCCACCTCGGGCCTTTCTGCAGCCTGGACCTACTTAAGCCAACATTGTGTGATGAGGCAATCGGTGAAGAGGCATACATAATACGTGTCCCCACCATCTCAATCCATGAAGGCTCATAACCTCATCAACTGACTTACCTCTACTTTCTAAAACTCTACACATGACTTCTGCGTTACCCACGTGTTGATACCACGGAATACAGCCTATACTATGAAGGCAACGGTGGTCAGACACCTGAAACCAGCCTTCTCATGTCTTCCACCTTCAATGGCCATGTTTCACAGCCATAGAGTAGAATAGAGTGGACTGCTGTGCAGGTGCAGTACACGCGACCCTTAGTAGACAAATGAATACCATTTTTGACGATTTGAGATGGCCATGGTTTTGCAGACTAGTATTTTTATTAGGTGATGATTGAAGGTGAAATGAAAATTTGGACTACGGCCGGATTTGAGACCTGTTAGCTCAGTTGGTAGGGAATTGAGTAGGAAAACCTCGTGGTTTCTGGTTCGAATCCGGTTGTGATCCAAATCTCTATTTTACCTACAATTATCACCCAGTAACAATGAAATTAGAATTAAGAACTTGGTTGAAATCTATGAAGTTAAAAATGTGAAAGAAAAGGATAATTTCATTGAGTCATAGAAACAATTAACGTGGTTATAAGCTTCAAAAATGATACACTAAATATGTAAGAAAGCACACAAATGCTTTCACTTTACTATCATTTATCACCTTCTGTCATATTCACTGTACACTTATGCATACATCGAACTAAAATCAGTTCTCCAACGATGTTTCTTGTTTTCAGTCATACCTAACTGGAAGAGATTATCTTATCCATAAAGATGTTTGGGCGTAGTGAAATGTTTCATGTGTATACCGCACTCTGGTAATAAGTCTTGCCATGTCAAAGGATTTCTTTAATGAGGTTACCTAATATTCCGTATTTTGTTCTCAAGTTTATCCAGTATATGCCAAATTTATGTTAGGCAATTTTTAAACATATTTTTCGCGCGTAATTTTTTAGCTTTAAACAGCTTATCTACTCTTGTTTATAGTAGTATCTGACTGTTGGTTTTGGCGTCTGACTGACAAAAGAGACTAATGGTTAGAGACTCAAGGTCACTCGGCTCAGAATCGATGTATTCACATGTTATGTCCATCTCATTCGTCATAGTGTTTTTCAGTATTATCACATTTCTCCTTGTTCTCTTTTACTACTTACTTTTTGTTCACCTTTTTCTCTATGTTTCAGCCTGATACTTTCTCGCTTGACGTCCAGACACGCGATGTAGCAACTTTAATCGTTATGTAGTAATGTCAGGTGCCGTGTTGACGTCATTTATCTATCTTATTGAGAAGTTGTGACAGTCGCTAGTCTATAATTCAGTATTATACAGTTCGTATATATAAAATGATTAGTACAGGACATTAGTCTTCTGGTATACGTTTTTATAGATTATTTGGTTACAAGAATTCTGAACTTGCTTTGTAATATCCCCCTATGTGTTTGCCAAGACTGCTCTTTTCTTCGTGTAAAAGATGCATATTATAGTAGAGTGTAAAATATTCACTTTACTAAAGATATGAATGATTAATAGGATACTGATACTGGGTGATGACTGAAGGTGAATTCCTGGTTGAGCAGCCAGTGTGGATACAGTCAAGCAATAGTAACGCATTATGAATTCACATGGTAATCGGGCAGAAACCTTTATTGATACAAGTGAAATTAAGATGTAGTCAGTAGCTGGGTCTCAGATGAAATGACCACGGAGGTCGGTGGTTCGAATCCTGCCACAGTCCAGACTTTCATTTCACCCTCAATCATCACACAGTATCAATAAAAGTCAACAAAACCAGGGCTATCTCAGATAGTCAAACTGATAATATAATATTATTCACTCCAAGTAGCTGCATCCTCTATTGACATGTTGTATAAATTGTCCTTTAAAAGTCGAGTTAGCCAGCTATTGAATAGAGTTATCCAAGGAGCTGTTTGAATTGTAAGTACTTTGAGTTCGAAATAATTATTCGCAGGATGTTTTTTTTTTATAAAAGTATTTCACAGTATGATTAGTAAGTTAGTTGCATTTTTGGAGAGTGGGTTTGTAATTGCTGTATGTTTGACGACAATTTCAGCTGAAAATGTAGCCCAGTACTTTTCTCTGATAATGAATGAAATGCACTCTGATGCACACTGATGCGATAGGAAATGACCAATATATATTGTGTGAAGGCTAATATTACTACTCTGCTGCCCAAAAATAGGTAGGCAGAGAGGGACTCGAGCTCACGACTGTCAACTGTTTAGACCAATGAGTCACACTTCTAAGGTTAAAATGAGCTCAGAGTCACTCTAGATAATCTGAGCATTAGCTATAAAAGTAGAAACTATTAACAATTTGCAGTTTTCGTTCACTGTTGATGGTTTGATCAGAGGAAATAAGCTAATCATCAGCTCCATGTGTGAAATTCAGCAAAATCTATGACACGAAAACAGCTTAGACGGAAAACAATAATGTTACATATTTCAGTGTTTGTTCATATAGTGGATTACATTTCATGTCACTTTCAATGTAGCTACATAGGAGAAAGTAGCTAGCTAGAGAAATCTCATTAGTAATTTTCAGTAGTTTTCAGGCTGATCTAGAACGTCATTCATTTCATTCAATCCTAGTCTTTTCAAAACACTTATTATATAGTTAAACAATGGTTTATTAACGAAAAGAAAATAGAAAACGCTGAAACCTTGAAAATTCAAGAAGGTTATTACAACAACAAAAAACCACTAGACAATAAATTAAATATCTTTCTAGTAGAAATATACCTTTTGTTTTAATTCTTGATTTCGTGTAGTCATTTCAGTCAGTTTAATTTTTAATTCTTCCTTATCTAAAACAGACAGAAAAGGATAGATAACAAGAAAATGGAGACTACTCAATATAGTGTGTATATTTAAAAAAAGAAAAAAGGGAACAGATAAGAAGGAAAGATTATCATTTTGACTATTTGAGATAGTCATAGTTTGGTAGACTTGTATACTTGATACTGGGTGATAGATAAGTGAAGATTTAGACTGTAGTCAGATTAGAACCAGCGACCACTGGGGTTTCCAGTCCAATGTTCTATCACCAGAGGTACGAGAGCCGACTGCTGGCTAAATTTCTATTGCATCTTCAATCACCAATCATCAGAAGAAAAAAAACAATGAGAAGATTTTAAACCATTTTTCATAACCAGATATTGAGAGTAGTTAATCAGCTGATTTATTTGACAATCAGTCAGCTGATTTCACCCAGTTTTTCTCTTCACTGTAAAATTACACCAAGTAGATCAATCAAGTGAAACCGCTAAGATATCAGATGAGAGACTCTTTTTCCCCTGAGTGAATGTATGAATAAAAGTCTAAGCATACGTTAAAAAGTAGTTGGCACATTGTATTGACTTACATTTTCAAGGAATAATAGTGATCAGAAATTGATCATACTATCCATAAAATATGAAGAGACTTTAATGTAGACATTAATTCAACAAACAAAACAGTGACTTCAAGAGACCTCTAGATCGACTACTGAAGTAACCAATCGATCGAATTTCTTTATTTCGCCTGAAAAATTTGGACCTTTTTTCTACAAAGTATAGAAACCGAGTTGACTATGTCACTTGGTTGTTAGAGTGACACTCATAACGTCACTACAAAATCTATTTAGCTATATGACTATACTAATTCAACTATCAAGTGAAGTAATCAAAAGGAGCCAGGTTTATCATAGACACCTATCGATACAAATAGATAAGCATTTTAGCATATCTTACATCTTGTGTAAGCAAATGATCAGCCCAAAAGCTTATCTCATAAATCTATAACACGTATACTATATGAGATAAGTTGACATATTGATACAAGACGACAAAATCGTATCACTACAATTAAAGATCATCATCAAGTCGATTATTGTGAAGTTCTCACCTCTACAACATACAGAACAGATTTAAAAGTTGTTTATGATAGTGTAGCTGTTGAAGAATGCATTGAATGGTTTATTTATTCAAACAACAGCATTCAGATCATTGAAAACAAATCAATATAGTCAGAATGACTTATAAACGCACAGTGAAACCACTTACTGGCTCAAGTGGTACTCAACCCATGAGTTAATGTTTCATAGTCTGAAGCCTAGACTACTGAATTACACCTTCACTCTTAAAACAATGTCAAAAGAGGTTGTACAATATTTTATCGACTAAAATCAAACAGTTTGTAGCAAGTGTATGACCTTGAAACAACCAACTGGTATAATACACTGTTCAAAAAGTATTTCCACGATAAGTATATACATAAAAAGTGCAAAAGTAATCACTAGTGTTGCATCAAAAAGGTTAAACCAACTTCTATGCAGTTATTCTACAAGATAGCTGTTAGCAACATTATTTTAAAAGTCAAGTATTGCTCAAATACTGTTCTTCAAGTGTTATCAAAAATCATATTATGGAATTAGTACGCATACTATTAATTGATAACAAGCGCAAAAAGTAGATTTTATTTGTAACTGATGTGCTTTTGGTTATTAACGGTGTTGTTCAACGTTATTTGATTGGTTAGCGGTTGGTAGTCACTATTCTTTATCTCGACTAAGTGTACGTTTGTCCATTCAGAAATGAGTCAAATTTGTTATCTGAAGAATAAATGTGATATTATCCGTCTGCTTAGCGTCGATCGAGAAGTAATTTGGCAGTTGCTTCAACACTATGGAGCTCCACTAGTCTTTATCAACCTCATTCAACAACTATATAACGACACCACATGCCAAGTGATCCACAATGGAAAGCTCAGTAATGCTTTTCAAGTGAAAACAGGAGTAAAACAAGACAAGACTGTCTACTATCATCGACCATCTTCCTGAGTGCGATCGACTGGACTAGATCATGCAGCAAACTGTGAGGAGCAAGAAGATGAGCATACACTGGCTGGAGCGATGAAAAGACCCCAGAAGAAGATTTGGATTTCACTGGTGATTTGAGTCTAATGTCACACAAACTCGAAGATCTACAAGCAAAAACTAACAAGTTGACAGAAGAGGTGAGGCAGGACAGCGAAAACGGAACTTCAAGTGAATGCAAAGAAGACGGAGGTGATGAAGATACCTAACCAAAAACAGCATCAACAACAAGAGGCACCAATCACCATTAACGGAAGAAACATAAAGGAAATAGTCTCTTTCACATACACCTACTTGACCAGGCAGCATCGTTTCAACTACAGTTGGCGGCACAAACGAGGACGTCAAACCAGGATCGGAACAGCAAGCAAGACAGGCTTTCAACAATCTGAAATCAGTGTGGAGATCTACTGCACTGCACTGCACTCAGCACAAAGCGTGAACAACATATGGATTTTCAACACCAATGTCAGTCAAGTCAGTGCTTCTATGTGATGGTTGAGAGACTTGTCGGCGCGTCACGAAAAACATTTCCAACAAACTACACACATTCATCAACAGTTGCCGTCTACACTCACTGTTGGAGATGCTGGAGATCAGATGGCGAGAATAATAAGAATAATCAACAAGGAACTCACTCTGTCTGGTAACTAACCAACCAAGAATCCAGTACTCAACAAATATGTAGAAGAAAGTGAAGATGGATTGAGCATACACTGAGAAGGCCGATTTGGGGGACATCACATGCTAATCCAGTACCTCGAGTGGGACTGAAAAGGGTAAACGACGAGTTGGGCATCCGAGGTGAGGGTGACATGGAGGAGATCATGTGAAGAAGAAAAGCTTGTAGCAGTCGTGGAGCTAGATTCGATTACTGCAGAGGACAGAGTGCAATGGAGGCGTGCTAGTGAAGCCCTATGTTCCAATAATAGACTTCAGTAACTGCAGGACACGATTCAAACCTATGATCCATTAAGTGAAAGTTGGACGCTTAAACTCTATGTAAATTAAATAATTTGTTAGTAATAAAGAATATTATTATAAAATAAAGAAAAAATTAAATCAATTTACCACATTCAGTTCGATACAATTCATCACGTAGTTTAGATAGTTGATTTTGTAGATGACCAATACGTACATTTGCAATAGTTGGACTCATAATAACATTATTAGATGTGGAAATAGTTTTATTCATCAACTCTGTATCGATTGAATTCAATGTAGTTGAAATAGGCTCTACTGTAGAGGATGATGATGATGATTCTGGTTGTACTGTTGTTGTTGTTATTGTTGTTTCTGTTGTCAATAGTTGATTTAAACCTAATGAATTAAAATGTAATTTAAGTTTATTCAACTCTAATTGTAGAGAAGAATTTTCTTCTTGTAAAGTGAATACCTTGAAATGAGAAAGAAAAAAGAAAAAAAACCACAGTTATTTAACTTGATATTCAATATTAGAACACAAACTGTACCTCAAGATTGATTCGAATCAATAAAAAAGTTACATAAATTTAGAATATGATTCTAGCTGCGATAATTTATGATACTTCGACGAACTCTAGTGGAAAACGGGTTTCCACTCAGATTCATAGATAAGAACATAAAACCAAAGAACCCAAGTGAATAAAGACATTCGGCGCCGAAAAAGATTCTTTTCTTAAATGTTGAATTCAAAAATGATATTGCTGTAGAGATCCTGAGGAAAAGACTGTTAAAATCCATAAACAGAACATACTTCATCGCCGACCTTCGGATAATTTTCTTCTGAAAGAAACTTTTCGATCAATGTGTGAAAGACAAGACAACTAATTGGGCCACATCAATGTGTTTATACCAGTTTAATTGCTCTTGTGGAGCTAAGTATATCGGCCATACCATGCTTCCGCTTGTAAGACGTGTCCGCAAACACTACCCTGCCTGGCTTGCAAAGAGAGAACGGAAATTCATCTTCAGTTCGACAACAGAACACCTAGTGAACTCAGGCCACTTAGCTCCTTTCGAGAGCTGATTCAAAATTCTCTACAGGGTTAGATCAAACCACTCGAAGGGAGTAAAATTAATGCATTTGTCTATAGCTGAAGCACTAGCCATCCAGAAGTTCAAATCAGCGTTATGCGTGCAAAGAAGGTACGTCCAACCTATATCTTTGCCATGGCCATCATAAAGCCCTATCGGCCACAGATTCGTTTTGTACACATGTATACCTTATTCACTTTTCTACTGTCATAGATTCAACCTGCATTACGTAATTACAATCTTATCTTCATAATACCCTGTTTATTTTCCTACTCTATCACAGATCTAACCTGCATTGCGTAATCACAATCCTATTTCACGATCCCGTGTTTATTCTCACACTCTGTCATAGGTTTATCCGGTATTACATAATCGCAATTTTATCTTCATAACCCTTTGTTCGGTTCTCTACTTTGTCATACATTCATCCTGTATTACGCAATTACATTTAATTTTATAATCCGGTCTTCAGTTGGAGGAACAAAGAAAACCTGGGAGCACTGGACAGCTGTTTCATCCTAGTATGGGACTCCTCAGCACTGCGTACCCACGACCCCGCCAGGGATCGAACCCGCGACCCTCAGGTTCCGTGGCCAGCACGTTACCATTGAGCCACTGGGTCAGCGAAATCCAAAGGTCCATATTTCAAACTTCTGTTAGCTCACTGTCCAGTGCTAACAGGTTTCCTTTGTTCCTCCAACTGATTTCAGTCTACAATGAATAACAACTTGAAATACTTCCGAATTCCCACAACTCCCTCGAAATCCTCTGTCTAGTTTCCCACTCTAAACACAAATGTGTATTCATTAACTTCTTTAGTTATCCAATATATTTTGCCCCCTGACCGGAAACAATTCTGGAACATTCTACCCACTGTAACATATATTCACGAATGTACAGCATAGTAAATGACTTCGCTGAAACCATGTCTTATCTTTTCCTACAAATTTATTTATAATGAGTGGTAATTGAAGGTGAAATGAAAACTTAGACCGCAGCCGGATTCGAACCAGCGATCATCGCGTTTCTGACTCGATGCTCTACCAACTAAGCTACGATGTCCGACTGCGGTCCAAATTTTCATTTCACATTCAATCATTACCCAGTATAATAACAGTCTTTTAAACTATGTCCATCTTAGATAGTCAAAAGATAATCAATATGATGCTCGCCCTCTCTAATTCAGTTAGGTTTCGTTTGGTATGAGAAGTTCTAACTAGGCAGCTAATGTGAATACGATCAAGCAGCAGTAACGCGTCACGAATTCACATAGTAGTCCGACAAAACTCATAGTGATTGAAGTGAAATAAAAATCTAGTCAGCAGTTGGACCTCGTAGCTCAGCTGGTAGAGCATCGGGTCAGAAACCCGGTGGTCTCTGGTTCGAACCCCGTCATGGTCCTAAAATTCCATTTTACCTTCAATTATCACCCAGTATAAAATACTAGTCTGTTAAACCACGATTATATCAGATAGTAAAATGATAATTAATTTATTCTCATAATTCTATTTTAGGAAGAATTAGCAATCATATATTAAATTTTCACTTGAAGTATTGGGTGATGCTTGAAGATGAAACGAAAATCTGGTTTGCAGCGGTCTTTAGGATACCGATTAGTTACTACGCTACTGATTCAGGAATGCAATTCAATCGTTCAAACGACCTCACTATGATTTCAACTGCTAAAGGTGATATTTGAATGAATGAATGTTACATGACTGCCGGTTCAGCATAACTCTTCTCATCTTAATTCAAATTGAGCTGAGTTAAAGTGGAGGAGTGGCGGATCAATGAGACTATACGATTGGTGGGACAAATAATGAAGTTAAGACAGAAAGATAGATCATGAGCATATGTTGAACGGATGACCTGAAAAAGCCCTCATTTATTGAAGTGGTACCAAGACCTGGCCAACAGTTAGATATTGTATCCTTACATAAGTGGAGAATTGAATCGGTAAGTTTGAATCAAATGATATTGTGACTCAGGTTTTCCTCAAGCTTTGATCAACATCCCACAAAAGTATGCGAATCACCTTTTTTTAAGTGTCAGGTGATAAGTAGTAAATTCTGCAAGTTATCATTCTTAGGTGTTCCCATCACAGTAAATACGATATGAAACAAACATTCGCAGTAGCTGCAGTCTATTTTCTGGCTAGCAGTAAAATTCAGAGTGTGCATTTCTCCCTATTTAAGACTCCTCAACTGGATAAACCTGCATCCTAGTGAGTGATGTTATTCCAACTGAGAATCCAACCCAGTACCCATTGTGCCCCAATGGATAACGCCTTGTCATTTAAAGGGATAGGTACTGGGTTCGAGTCACAGTGGGCAAAACATCACTCACTTGGGTGCAGGTTCATCCAGTTGACGAGTCCCAAATAGAAAGAAACCCAAATAGACTAGGACATCATGAATATCAAGGTAGTATCAAGGGATCCAGACTACAGCCAATCTGCTAAAAATCATAGAACAGTTTGACCTACTAGTGGAGAATATTTGTAACTCAGGTGGATGATCTCAGTTGTAATGTGTTCACTCAGCTGGATTGTTGAGTCGTCAAGCTTTCATCGTCTTTCTATACAACATCATCAGCATTAACTTCACAACCAAGGAAACTGCCAATCTCTCTCTCTCTCTCTCTCTCCGTAAATAATTCACTACCTTCACATGACAAAGTGGTCTGTCATTGCTTGTTTCCTTCGATTGTTGTCTCATTCACTGCATACATACTCTTGTTGCCTGTTCCTTCGTCTCATCTCTGACCTCTCTGTCCTTTACCAACTTTCTTATCGCTTGACAGATTACGTCTGTCTCGTCTACACATCTATTGATTGGTGGCTGGCTGACTGACTGAATGACCTGAATGACAAGCTTCTAGGAATTCTCTCATATTATTCGTCTTTAATCTTTCCAAGATTTCTACATTCTCAAAATTGAATTCACGTTCATATTTGTTATCCACGTGTATTGAAATGAGCGATGAAATGTTGTATGTGACATTTAATAGCCAATTGTTGTTCATGTAGAAGAAGGTGAAGAGAGCAACCATTTTGTCTAATGTCACGTTGACTACAGTTACAGAGGTTGATTTTGTAGATGATATTCGGTTTGCCTTCTTTGGATGTCTCATCCTCCGGTCCGCATAATAGTGTTTCGAGGGAATTTGTTGGTTTATGAGCCACACCAATTCCACCAAGTGGTTTCAGTAATCTTGTCGTGATTTCTAATATATATTCTTTATGTATGGTAGGATGATGAGTTTATTGATTTATGTCGATGACTTTGTAGTTGATGATGTATGGGATAGGCATCTTGTGATAAAGTTTCATGGGTAGCCGTTCTTCTTTAGGATAGACATCAAGTAGTTTTCTTCGTTTCTCCGTGAAGTTGTTGTACTTCAGTGTATTCTCACTCTTTTAAATAGAGTCTGCAGCAACTGATCTTGTGTGTTGTTGCTACTGTAACAACCGGAAATTAAAGGATCATAGCTTTTGTTTATCCTTTTTGTTTTGAATATCTTTTATTTGGTTTGCACTGGAAGAAATTATTTAACTAGTCCAACTCAGTGACAATTCGTTCGCATAAAAATATAACTTTTGACCTCTGTCACTCCTGACAGAAATGTACCAGACGAATTGCTATTTTGTATGGTCCAGTGACTGATTCGTTCTAGTGACTCAAATGGTGATGGGATTATTATCCCTACTTCAATGATAGAATGGGATTGGATACGATGATATTCATGATAGGGACTGAATCGACTGGGAGCCTCAGGTTCCACGAGGACCACGTTACAATTGAGCCAATGGGTCGGTATCCAATGGCCTACATTAATGACCTGCTTTGAGATGAGACTACCAAAGTTCTATTGAGAGTTCGTGAACGGTGGGACGGACGTGTTGAAAGTTACTCAACGACAGCATTGAATATAGGTCGTGCTATATCATGAACTGATAGGAGTAGGAAATATAGACCATTGGATTCCGAACCAGTGGTTCAGTGGTAAAGTGGTGGCTGTGAAAGTTGGAGATCATGGGTTCGACTCCCGGAGGTATGCACTGCTGAAGAATTCTGCATCAGAACGAAACAGCACTGGCTACCAGTTTTCCAATGACTATACAACTGATATTAGTCTATGACTGGAATATTAGGTGACGAATAATACAGGGGATATCAATTCCCTTGAGGTTCCCAAATATGTCCTACTGATGAATGTGAAGAAGAGCGAAACCTAGGTCAAGGGTATCCTGCCGACTATCTCCAACCAACTCATTTTAAACAGTTACCGATGACATGCATGTATGTGCAAAAGATTACTGCTTCTTTTAGAAAAAAACTCAGATAATACTTCATGTAAGCTAGGCCAAAAGTATCACTC